TTTGTTGTTGCATCTTGGAGCAAGATTTTGCAATATGTTCCATGAAACCACATGGATAACAAATATTTGGTAATTCTCAATATTTTAGCATTACAAATAAGATCAAGAATGATATCAATATGGAAGTTAATGATTGTCAATAACAAACTGACATAATGGTAGGTCCTCCAAATTTTCTCAACTTACCTTATTCGACATGTTGAGTATGTTTAACTTTCTTTCAACATGAATACTGTATTATATTCAAAAACATTAAATGATTAACAAGTTCCCGTGTTAGATGATGATTTTCAATTTTTCCTACGTGGTTCTCTATTAGAACTTCTCTTTCTAACATTTATTATTGCATATTGGAGCAAGATTTGCAATATGTCACATGCTATCACATGCATAATAAGGATGATTCAAAGGTGAAAGGTAATGAACTCAGTAACAAACTTACATGATGTAGCTCCTCCACATTTATTCGACTTATATTAATTTACATGTTGAGTTTGTTAGCTTTCTTTTAACAACATAAATAACGTAGTATGTTCAAGAACATTAAATGATTGACGAATATTGACATAAAATAATTTTACGAAATAATTTGAACTCCGAAATAGAAGAATCCAGCTGCTTGCATTTATTTGATGATGATTTTGCATTTTTCATGTGATTCTCATCCAGATGCTCTATTAGAACTCCTCTTTCTCCCATTTGTTATTGCATTTACAGCAAGATTTTGCAATATGTCCCATACAATCACATGCATAATAGATATTAGGTAATTCTTCATATTTTAACATCACGAAGAAGATCAAGAATGATGCCAAGGTGGAAAATGTAATACTTTAATTATTCTTTTATATCATAAAGGAGCAGCATATCTATAGCTGTCTGAATTATTTTATTAGTCCAAATTTACTAAAAATGTGAATTTTCCCTATGTCTAATTGTTGACTTTTTATTTATATTTATATAACGTAAGACGAGAAATTTGTATGTATATATAGATAGATATACTTATAGTTATAAATATATATTTGTTAATATTTTAATACATTTCTATCTTTGAATTTCTCTCTCTTTTACTCAAACTAATTACCTCTTAAAAAACTTCCACGTACCCACTTGTCATTCCATTTCCCTACTTACCCAACTAGTAAGAAAGATTCCCTCAATTCCCTTATTTATCCCACAACACTTCACGATTTCTTTCATTTTAACATTTCATAACTTGTCTTCCCATATTTTATAACTTATCTTCTTTCCATATTTTTTTGTGTATCAAAACAAGAAGCAATTGTCCAGAGCATTTATAGTACATATTTTATCTCAGTATTTTTCCTATGATTGAAAGGCATTTGAAGGTTATAATGTAGGATAACGACGTACAAGTGGTTTTGTCCCGTTTAATTTTTGTTATTTCATATTAATAAATATTTGCTAATGATATGATACGATATGATATATATGGTCATCCGATACAAATGATATGATATGATATGAGCTTTTATCGGTTCTAAAGATATGATATGGTGGTACGATTTATTTTGATATATCAATAATAAAGGTTATTCAGGATTGTATTAATATTCGTATCCTATTGAGTATTTTCTATACTCACCATTTTCCCTACCTCACAGGTTAGTATAGGTCATGTCGAAGTGCGGAGGTTCAATGGTGTGGTTGTGCCTCGTTTCATGAGACTAAAATTTATAAGTTAAGCAAGTAACTTTATTTCTTTTAATTTGTTTACAATATGCATTATGTTTAATTAAAATGTCGAACGTGTTCGATAAATTGTAGTGGTCTATTTTTATACGATATAATTAATTTTTCTATTCCTTTACATTTAAGTTGTACCTTGTGATTTTCAACTATATCTATATTATTTGGTGTAAATTCTATTTTCTTACTTTACTATCAGTTTAAAGACTTGAATTCATAAATGGGAATGGTTACCATTCACGTTCACCACTATAAATTCATGCCATGACCATTATCTTAAATTTATTTAGTTCATTTGTTAGGATTAATATATGGTATGTAAAATTTCTTAAAGATCATGCATGTATGTTTAAAATTTGTAGAATCCATTGTTGTTTCATCAATTATATAAAAAGAATAAATCGAAAATATATTAAATGTTGTACCCTTTGGCTTGACACTAATTTGTTTTGGAAAATTTAATGGTGGTTTTATTATAAAAAGAATTCATTTGTTTTGCATGTCAAGTGATATAATTTAACATAAGCTTGTGGTAGCGACTCATATTTACTTAGTTATAAATTTTGGGTCATTATAGAAAGTAATGATGGTCAATAAGAAATTGACATGATGTAGGTCTTTCATATTTATTCGACTTGCCTAGTTCAACGTGTTGAGTTATTTATCTTTCTTTAACAACATAAATATCATATTACATTCAAAACATCTAATGATTAATGAGTATTAACAAAAAATATAATTCTAACGAATAAATGCAAATTCGAAATAGAAGAATCCACTTGCTAGCATTTGATGATGATTTTGTATTTTTCATATGTGGTTTCCAGCCACAAACTCTATTTGAACTTTTCTTTCTCACATATGTCATTGCAACTTGGAGCAAGATTTTGCAATATGCTCAATACAACCATGTGCATGTAGATATGAGGCCATTCTTCATATTTTGGCAAGGATGATGCGAAGGTGAAAGATAATGATGGTTGATAACAAACTAGCATGATGTAGATCATCCTTACTTATTCGACTTGCATTATTTGACATGTAGAGTTTGTTAGATTTCTTTATTTGACACGGTTGAATTTGTTGGCTTTTTCTTACAAATATGAATACTACATTCCATTAAAAAATATTAAATGATTAACAAGTTTTGATAGGAACATAGTTTTAACGAATAAATACAAACTCCAAAATAGAAGAATTTAATTACTCGTGTTTTGATGATGATTTTGCATTTTTTAGGCGTGGTTCTCAACCAAAAATTCTACTAGAGTCTCTCTCTCTCTCTCTCTCTCTCTCTCTCTCTCTCTCTCGCGTGCGCACACTTGTTGCTTTATCTAGGAGCAAGATTTGTAATATGCCTCATGCATAATAAGGATGACTCTGAGGTGGAAGCTAATGATTATCAATAACAAAATGACGTAATATAGGTCCTCCACATTTATTCAACTTATCTTATGCGACACATTGAGTTTGTTAGCCTTCTTTAACATGAGTACTATATACATTCAGTAATGATTAACAACTATTGACAAAAATATACTTTTAAAGAATAAATGTGAACTGTAGACAAAATAATCTAATTGCTTGCATTTGATGATGATTTTGTATTTTCATGCGTTGTTGTCAACTAGAAACTCTATTAGAACTTCTCTTTCTTACATTTGTCTTTGCATCCCCTAGAGCAAAAATTTGCAATATCCCTAATGCAACCGAATGCGTAATAGATATTAGACAATTCTCATATTTTAGCATCACAAATAAGATCAAGGACGATGACAAGGTGAAAGGTAATCATGGTCAATAATAAATTCACATGATGTAGGTCCTCCACATTTATTTGACTTGCCTTATTCGACACATTGAGTTTGTTATCTTTCTTTAACAACGTGAGTATAGGGTAACATTAAAAAATATTAATGATTAATAAGCATTGACAAAAATATAATTTTAACGAATAAATGCAAAGTCCGAAATAGAAAAAATCCAATTGCACGTGTTTGATGGTGATTTTGCATGATTCTCAATCACAAACTCCATTAGAACTTCTCTTTCCCGCATTTGTCATTGCATCTTGGAGCAAGATTTTAAAATATGACCAATGAAAATTGTAACCACATGCATAATAGATAGTAGTCTATTCTTCTTGGAAAAAGCTCTTTTGCCCGAATTTTTTTACCCACTTGGTTGACATACTCACAAGCGTGGACCCCGTTTGTATTAAAAATGCAAAAAAAAAAAAAAAAAAAAAAGGTGAGACCCGTCCCTATTTGTGAGTATCGGTCAGGGAGGGTGTCAAACCCTCCATGTTATAGTATCATGGTTGATTCTTCTTACTCTAGCATCATAAATAAGATCAAGAATGATGCCAAGGTGATGATGGTAAATAACAAACTCCAATTTGTTGGCTTTCTTTAATGTATTGACTTTAAATAGATTTAAGGAAGTTTTATTCTTTTGCAAAAGACCTCTTTATCCTCACAAGCAAGTGAAGCAATGAGAATTGTCCTGGACAATGTGAACATTAAGGGGGCATTTGTTTTTCATTTTTGTAAAAATGAGAATGAAAAATATAGTCATTATCAGCCCCACACAAGATATAAAAATTCAAATTTGGTGACTTAATGTGATGGATAACGGTTATTTTTTTTATTTTAATTGGGAAAGAATGAAAAACAAATAGGGGCTAAAAATAACCTTTAAATCCAAAGAATTTAGAGTTGTATATTTTGAACCTCTATAGCAATGAAAATACTGAGAATTATCGTTCTTCATAGAAGTGGCTTTTTATATAATCAAATGGAATATGACTTGCATGGAAAATAAATTTCAATTATTTGAACTATTAAATAAAATCTTCAAAATAAAATAAAAATCTCGGTAGTATTTTATATAGCCCTGTTTATTTTCCATTATTTATCCATTAAAATCAAAAATATGATCGTTATCCATCACATCAAGTCACCATATTTTATCTTTTATCCCTTGTATGGAATTTGTAACAACTATATTTTTCATTTTTATTTTTAACACCCAACGCGGCCATAGAAAACAGACAGGCACAGAAAAAACTAAAAATTGAAACAATTTTTTAAAAAAGCGAGTATATCTCTAAGATCACACGTGGTATCGAGGAGCCACTTGCAGAACTAGCGCGTGTTACTTCATCACAAATCAGTACACCTGTTTGCTTGCGGTGGAGCTCAACACATCCCACGCGCCGAGGTAGCCTGTCACCGCCTTATCATTAGTCAACGAGCGCGTGTGTTTAAAATCAGCAATTTGCTCTGAAATTTAGTCACCCTTCAGATCTTTGGCTTTTGTTTTTCAATTTTTTTTTCTTGTTTCTGTATGAGTTGGATCTCCGTATATCTTTCCTAAAATTCGACTCTTCAATAGTGTTGTTTGCGATTATTTTTTGTTAAAACTTTATTTTTGTATTATTTCGGTCATATCCCTCGCTTTTGGGATTTGGAAGAAATTAGGGTTTCTTTTTGTTATTATTTGGTGATTACATGTATGGCTTCGGAGACCATAGGGGATTTGAGTAATGGTTTGAGTTCAAGAGAAAGGGTTCAATGGACCAAGAATAGCAAAGTTTATACCCGAAGATTCCACAAAAAAACCCAAAAACTCAGTGCTAATAACGATACTGCTGCCGCCGACGCCACCACCTCCGCTTCCGAAGAAGTCCTCGTAGCTGTCACCGAGGTTCTCAACTCCAGAACCACGGAGATCAAGAATGACTCTGTTACCGCCTTCTCTATGGCTACCACTGCTGATGGTTCTGCTGCAGCAACCACCAATCATGAGAATTTAGAAACCATAGAGGCGGAAGATGTGAATTTTTCTCCGCAGAGGCTGCAAGAGCGACCTCTACATAGAGAACAAACTCCGCCTCCAACCTTAGAGTGTCAGCTGGAAGAACAACCACAGCATGTAAAACAACTTCCTTCCCTGCAAGAGGATAGCGCTTTGATTCAGAAGCGAGTGCAAGAAGGTAGTGAAAGTCTAGCAGCTGACCAACAAAATCTTAGTGTATCATCACCACCATCCAGTGGAAACGATCTTCAGAATCTTAAAGAATCATCGACAGTTCCCAGTGGGAATGGCACAGAGAATCTTGTAGAAGCATTGCGGTCGACTATTGAGAACAGTTCCCAGGATCTTAGAGCATCGTTGCCACTTCCTAGTGCAGATGAGCTGCCAAATGGTAGAGAAGTGTCACCAGAACAGTTGCTGAGGGGGAATGAGCCACAGAATGATAGAGAACTAATTACAGAACCGCGACCACCCATTCGGAATGGGCCAGTAAATGTGAACGGAATTGTTAAGCCACTGGAGATAACTAGGGTTCATGATAGAGTTAGATATAATTTATCGAAATTAACTCCGAAGAATGAGGTTAGGGAGCTTAGGCAGCAGCTACAGAGTGAGCTTGATCAGATTAGGAGGTTAGTTGAAAAGCTTGGAGCCAAGCACCTTCAGCTTGCTGACGACAACACTAATATTAACATTAATAGTAATGGCACTTATATGGCTGCTGCTGGCGGAAATTTAGGTCAATATACTCAATCTCTGCCAAAGAATGTGGTGAATGATGCAGTAGAGAGAAGGGCGTTGGTCAGAGTCCATTCAGAGGTGGGCTCGGTGGGGAATCCTGAAAGCAGGCTGATTGGGTTAACCAGGGTGAATTCTGATATAGGTGCAGTGCGACGTCAAGAACCAAGGCTGTATAATAGGCAGCTTAGTGTCACAGTAATGGAAAACCATCATGGGGCAAATGATTGTGTTGAGAAGGAGAAAAGGACTCCCAAGGCCAATAAATATTATAGAAATTCGGAGTTTCTCCTGGGGAAAGACAGACTCCCTCCTGAAAGTAACAAAAGGTTGAAGACGAGTAATGGGAGAAATCACGGTAGAGAGACAGAACATGCATTTGGCTCAGGTTTTGGTTTCGGCAAGAATAGGAATCAGGTGTTGAGGAGTTGTAGTAACTTACTTCAGAGGTTGATGAAGCACAAACATGGTTGGGTGTTTAATGAGCCAGTGGATGCCAAAGCATTGGGGTTGCATGATTACCACGATATTATTAAGCGTCCTATGGATTTGGGTACAATTAAGGATAGACTTTCACAGAATTGGTACAAGTCTCCTAGGGAGTTTGCAGAGGATGTGAGACTTGTTTTTCACAATGCTATGACATATAATCCAAAGGGGCAGGACGTCCATGTCATGGCAGAACAGCTGGCTCAGATATTTGAAGAGAGGTGGGCGGTGATAGAGACGGAGTATAATCCAAATTGGAGGTACCAAATGTATCAGGCTGCTGGATTGCCCTCTCCGATTTCAGGAAAGGTTCCTCCTCAGTCTAATTTTGCCCCTGCCCTTGCTTTTGTCCCTGCCCCTTTTGCTGCCCCAATTCCTAGCCATATCCCTCCAGCCCCTCAAATGAGGACTTTGGATGGGTCAGTATCAATGCCGACACCCATGTCGATTGATCCCAAAATGCAACGTCCGCATTCTGTTCGGACATCCATTCCAAAGAAACCTAAAGCAAAGGATCCCAATAAAAGGGACATGAGTTATGAGGAGAAGCAAAGACTCAGCACTAACCTTCAGAGCTTGCCTTCAGAAAAGCTTGATGATATTGTTCAAATCATAAAAAAGAGGGACACTATGCTTTCACAACATGATGGTGAGATTGAAGTGGATATTGACCATGTTGATCCAGAAACACTCTGGGAGCTGGATAGGTTCGTCTCTAATTACAAAAAGAATTTGAGCAAGCGCAAGAGAAAAGCTGAACTTGCTCTGCAAGCAAGAGCAGAAGCTACTGGGACTACTCCGATGATGGTAAGAGCTTTAGAATTATGGTTACTGCAATTGCACATCATCTGGAATTTACCATTCGGATTTCTTCAAACAAAATTTTTCCTTCTGATATATTTAACCTGTATTGTATCAAATTGTAGAGGATAACCCCAGGAGTTCCAGATGTTCACAAGGAAAGTGGATCAGGTAGAAATTTACCCTTATGATGGTTGCTTTTTAGATTAGTCATTATGCCTACTTTGGATGGAAATTGAAGTTCTATGATCTGATGTTTGCATTTCCTTGTCATGTTTGAAGGAGCTGACAAGAGTTTTTCTCCCCCATCTGGTGCGCAAGGTGAAAAGCAGGGATGTAATGCGAGCAGGTCTAGCAATTCAAGCAGTTCTAGCAGTGACTCTGGATCGTCTTCGAGCGGTAAATGATGAATATTTCTTCTTTGCTCTATTTGTGGCATAAGCCTGTCTGTTTTCACTTGTGATATAATCACTGTTCTGTCTTATGTCATCCGAATGACACTGATGTTATTTGTGAATTTTTCTTGTATATTCAACATGCAGATTCCGACAGTGATAGTTCCTCTGCAGATGGATCAGATGCAGGGCAGTCACCTAGGACATGAATGGATGCTGTTAAGGTAGAGGAAGAGATATCTTTGCTAATGACTAGTCTTTCTCTTTAGTCACAGCTCATGTCTATTGAGCCAACATCACTCTGCAAGTTATATGTTTTACCTTCTTCCTCCATATTCCAGTGGTTTTGCATCTCTGCTATTTTGTTTGAAATATAGAAACGAGAAGCATTCCCATTGTCGAAATGCGAAAAGTACTTGAACTTTTAAATTGTGCCACTCCCACAAACAAGCTGACAAATAAAATCAAGAATCTTCCCCTGTTGTTTTATGGTGCATAGAACCTGACATGACATATAGACTCAAGTTAATCTTGTCCCTCAAATGTGGCTGAGTTGAGTTAGCTTCAATTTCTCAGGAATGGTTTTAATGTTCTTCGAGAAACCAAAGAGAAAAAGCTTAACTTGCCTATAAAAGGTCCGTTGTAAATTTATGTATCAACAATCTTATAGAAGTTATCTTATTATCAGTACGTGGCATATGTCTATGCTAGATTGAAATGGACATGCAGCATGCTAGTCTTGAAAGTGCAAGAGAATGCACCATTAAACATATTGATAAAGAGTTCACTTAGACAAGATTGTAGATTAATAAATTTCCAAATGGACATTTTATAGGCAAGTTCAGGCGGTGTTTAGATGATTTTGCCTGTAGTATCCAAAATCAGCATCTTACAACTTTAAGATTAAATGGAAATAGTTACTGCCTCTATCTTGTCCATGATTCCTGGAGAAAAATAATTCTGAAAGGAAAGTTTTGAGCTTTCATGGATATTTTATGTGCACTTATTGACCATTAGCTTTGGCATATTTAGTACGTTTTCCTAGAGGTGAGATTTATCTAAGTGGTTGAAAATCTTTCTGATCCTCAAAATTTCTGTTAGTCTTTGATTTTTGTAGTGAAATGCATAGCCAAACAATCTATAGTGCACAACTTTAGAATATCTCCAAGAAACTCTTTATTTTAAAGAGCTAATGTTTGAAAACGAGCTCCAAGATATTCTCTATTTGTGGATTTGGTTCTCCAAATTTAGAGAGCCAAATCCACTCTATTTTCTTAATGTATAATGATTGCATTAATAAGTCATAGATTTCAGTACTCTACTTACTTTTCAAACCACATTTAAATTGAATGGTCATTGACATAAAAAATTATGTTAAATAAAATGTGAGAAGAACTTAATAAATGTTTTTTTGAGAAAACAAAATAAAGAGCCAAAATGGAGAGCATAAAAATTTTGACTCTCTAAATTTAATGATGCTCTTTATAATGCTTAATATGCTCTTAGAGCTGATTAGGACTAGTCACTAAAACTGCTAACCTGAAAAGGAGTGAATTGAGCCGATTCAGGCCGGTTTGATTCTCTGGTCTCTCGTAGGTTGGTTCGGGTCGGATACTTGAGTTCACGTAGCAAGTTCTATATTTTTGTTTTAAAACCTGCTAACGACCTGTTCTGCAACCCAAAACCTTATAACAAATGAGAAATCAAAAATCCCCTCCGAAACCCTACTTCTCACCATCGTTCTCCTCGCAACCCAAGGTCCCTCCCTCTTTCTTCCACTGCCTCTCTCACCTCTTAGACATGCACTTGTTTGATTACCTTATTTCAATATTTTTTTTGTGTTTTAAGTATCCAAATTACAACTTTCAAGCACTTTCTGATTTTGGAGGTGGGCTGAAGATACCCCCCCCCCCCCCCCCCCGGGGGGGGGCAAAAACCCCCCCCCCCCCCCCCCCCCCAAGAAAAAAAAAAAAAAAAAAAAAACACCATTCTCCCCAAGAAAAAAGAAAGGATATATTAAGAAAATGACAATGATAATTGGTAGGTAGTCTTTTCTAGTTTGGTGGCTTGAAAATGATTGCATTAATTTTCATGCTGTTCATGAAGATTCGGCATTAGATATTCAATGTGATTCTCGTCGTAGCTGTTAATTCGTCTTCCATAGACTCCACAGATGAAAAACTATGCATTATTTGGACGGCTTGTTGCATGCAATAGTTTAAACAATGAAGGCTTTGGTGTTGAGAGACATTAGCATTCAATGAGGTCTAACCTATATTGAACAGAAAGGCCAGAGTGCAGGTGTCCGACACCTATCCAATACCTGATACGTGCTGGAGACATTTCAGATAAGCCACGTGGCATGTAGGGAGAGACTTTACTTTTGAAGTGGGGAGACTTATCTGTGAATGGGGTTGAATCTGGACGAAAATATAGAGTTTTGGCATCATTTATGTTTTCTTTTTGGGTCAGAGGTATTTGGCAGCAAAACAGGCTTTTCTTAATTGCAGAAAGGCACAAGCAGTTTTACCCGTGGGATTTTAACTATTGCAAAAAAGACATGCGATTTTAAAGACTATAAAAAAATAATTCTACACAATAGAACAAAGAAAAAATAAATATCAAAATTCAATAATATTTTATTGTTATATTTTTTATGCATCCCCGATGTGTTTTTGTGCTGTCATGTCCATATCTGTGCTTTTGTGGGCCTAAATAGTTCTGTTACCGGGATGGGTTTATTTTTTAGTTTTCTGTGTATTACTTGTCTCTCTGGTTTTTCTCTATTTTTTGGGTATGGTTGGCTGAATATGATCAGACGAAAGAACTTAGTTCTCTAATTCATTTGTAACTTTGCAGGAGTTCTCTAATTCATTTGTAACTTTGCAGGACATCAATGACGAATGTACTCTATGATTATTTTGGGGATGCTTCTGCAATGATGGTTTCAAGAAGTTCAGAGTTGCTGGTAGGCTGGGTGCAGAATGATTTGAACTGCAGGTCTATTTAAGGTGGTTTCTTTTATTAAGAATGATTTTGATTGGTTATGATGGTGATGGAAGAACATAGCAAATGTAAATTATGAAGATTGCTACACCTACTTTAGTTAAAAGAAACTATTGGAGGATTTTTTGTATCATTTACATAATGACTAGTGGGAGAGTAGCATAGATGTTATTAGAACAAAACCCGGGATGGTATGCATGTCACTGCTGGGAGTAGGTAGATATAATGTGTTTCTATCGTATTGTTGCATTTGAATTTTTTATTATATTACCAGATGTTTGAAAGGGGGAAAAATTGGTGTGTAAAGATCATTTTATCTTTAAAGTATTCTCTGATTTTCTTTTGCAGGTGGTAGACAGTCGGATCATGATTCGAGTTGAGTTATTCCTCAGCCTGCATTTTTCACTGAATATTTCCGTTCTGTTTTTAGTTATGATGCCTGTGAAACCGATGTATGTATGAGGAAAACCACAGTTGATCAATGCAGCACTTAGTTGTAATCATATATGGAGTTCTGTCATGTTTGTGTTTTAATTTGTCTCTGTTCCCGAGGATGTAAGGATGTCCCTCGTGATGCTGTTTTCATTTCAGAATTGGAAAAATTGCAGAGTTGGTTCTCGATCTCTTAAAAAGAGCAAGTTGTATCTTTTATTATAATTATACAATTAATTCTAAACTCTGAATGTTCAAAATATATATTATCAAATAGTCTGATGCAAAAGAATTTAAGCTGAAGCACGTTTTTATTATTTAACAAATATTTGATTAGTTTATGTTGTGAAATTTTAGTGAAAGTTTAGGAAACAACTTGTCTCTTTTAGAGGTCAGGAACCAATTTGCCAACTTGGCAATGTTTTGAGAACCGATGGTACAATATTTCCTTCAAGATTTAAAAACCAGTGGGAATGAGCAGCAATCTACCGAAATGGGATGTGGAGGAAAGGGCAAAGTCTCCTGTTCAGTTCTACCTCTTTGAATTTGATACAAGGCTGCATTTCTTAGGGAACATATGGTACTCGTAGCACAATAACTAAAAGAAACAAAGATGAAAGTTTGTTATTACATTACACTGGGGTATCGATCATGTACGATATGCTTGGATGTTTATATCATGAAAAGAAGCTTGACAGTTGACATGGCTAGTAGACGATTCATTAACAAAAGGAATTGTAAGTAGCTAAATTATTTCTTTTTAATAACCCCACTTTTGTAGCATTAAGCTAGGCCGAAATTCAATTGTTTGATATCCCCTCAAAACAGTTTGTTTATGTTGCTGATATTATTTGAGAGATGTCAATAAATCTACTCGAGTAGCTCCCTCTTAGTAATATAACTATAGTTTGGTTGAGCCATTTTAACTCTGATTGGCAAATTTGATTCCCTTCTCGATGGACGATTTCAACTCAGGGCTTTATTCATCTTTGGTTTCACTGCTTGTTGTTTTGTCTGGTTTAATAACACCGCTTATCCTAATGGGTTCAAGAGCTTCCAAAGTCATCTATAATCTAAAAACAATCTCTTCCTTTCAAATGTGATCATTAATCTCAAAACCACCAGTTCCTTTTGAAGAATGCTATTTATTTTCAAAATCTATTCACGTTCTTAAAATCTTTCACGACCAAAAGCGAATTTTCCCATTTTGTACTTAATGTTTGACTGAACAGCAACAACTTGACATTAAGCAGCAATCACAAAAAATAGAAAGGAGCCAGATCAAGATAACACAGGCCAATCTTCGTTGGAAACTATTAAGTTATCCTATTTACTTCTCTACATACAAAGGAAGACATTCGTGAAGAATTACCACAAGGAGATAAAGGGAACCTAACAATTCATTTTTTATCCATACATTTTGAGGGATTTATCCATCAATAATTTCTATTATTTATAATTTAAAAGCAATTCCTTGATATAACCATTCAATCGCATGAACAATCACAATCAATTTTACCAGTATATGAGCATCTAATTACTACTTGGTTCTCATAGATTTAAGAACAGAAAATATTGAATTATTCAGATAAAATTAATGAAAAATATCTCGTCTGAATTGGTAGCTGGACGATAATGTGCTCAATTGATGTCCTCAAATGTTACGATGTTGGACATCAGCATATGCTTAATTCTCTTTGTAGCTCTAACGTCTCCATGGGAAGAATATATGCTAGTCCATGTAGACTTTTATATCCATGATGCCAGGTGCCCTCAACTTTCCTGCATCGAAGTCTTCAAATCAGAATCAATGCAAACGATTAAAGATGCCATTCAGAGCGCACACATAAAATAGCACATCTTCACCTCCAGACGGATCTTGAAGAATTTTGCAATGTTTCGGCTAAGGAATGTCATAACTCGTGAACTATTCTGTAAATCCTATCTGGCGTAGGAGAACTCGTCTAGGCTTTCATTCCACTGGTCCTTGTGGTTTGATCTTGGGTCCTCACCCAGTGCAGAATATCAGTGCAATCTTCACGACCGACAAAATGCCTTAAACATACCAAGAACCAAGTTAGCGTCTTCAGATAAAATGAAAAACGAGCAATGATATTTTCTGAGGGCATACCGATTTTTAGTGCGATAAGTTTTCAGTCGCATGACTTCCCGATGGTTTGTAATATCCTTCTTCATGCAAAGTGACTCCGGCACTTTTAGGTTTCCGTTTTGTTCCTGATATGCATCACATATGAAGCTGAGCACGTTTTCCTGCAAAACATGTGATTTTCAGAGCTCATTTCTGCGGAGAATCTCGAAAGGCTGCAAGAAGGGATTTTGTAGATTTCATTCATTCAATTCTCCACTACCATATCAACTTCCTGGAGTTCACATAAATATCAGGTATCTAGGACATAGCATGATTTCCTTATTTTGTATTTCTATTTAAGTTGAATCATGCTAGGTGTACAGGTAAAGTTTCACAGATTTTTTACAGGTCTCCACTTCGCATTTTTACATTGGTCATTGACAAAAACACACAAAAAAAGGCACCAAGCAGCCTGTAAACAATTCTCCTGTACTGTGTGGGCGCGCGCAAGCAAGAGAGAGATGTCAGGGTGACTCTTCATTCTTTTAGTTTTGTTTTAAATTTTCATATTTGGTCTTAGAATTTAATTTTCATATATAATAATAATTCAAATATTAATTTCAGAATATATTTCATAAATAAATGCATGATTGTAATATAAATTCATATTTAATTTTGATTTTATAGTTTTGGCAACCGAAAAAGGCCAATTCTCTCTCTCTATGAGATCGTGTCCATAGAAGGAGAGACAGTTGTGAACTATAAAGGTTTTATCTTGACGACTTCAGTGTTGTTAGTGCCCACACGAAGGCAGCCACAAAACTACAGGACAGCATTTCCGTATCTCTTTTATGCCAGCCTTCTAACTCTATCCTCTTATATTTAGATTATTGTTGTATTATCTTTTAATTCATCAAACAATCCCCATGAAATATTGATACAAAAATCACCAATTATCTCTAACCATACCAAACAAATAAAAAAGAACTCATCAGGTCGGTAGTCTCACATTGGTTGCGGGATCTTCAGGAAAAGGAACATATATAGGTGTTAACGATTTCTTCTAAAAGCTTTAAGCTATTAAACATGGCTACATGTATTCATTTAAATCATGTCTTCAACATGTTGAATGATTTTTTCCCACCAAAGCAGCACACAAGTTCTGATGAACAGATTGCGATGAGACTCAAAACCTTGTCTTTGTACTGTTGTGCTCCCATGTTAACCATTTCATCTAAAAGCTTATTCATTTAAATCTTTCTTTGACAATGAGTAAGATGCAAATGACAATTTCAGGAACTCTCAACTGATAAGCAGAAACCTAAAGTTACAAAAATAACGTACCAAAGGTTTAGAGGCATCAATCCAATGGTAAATTGGCTCGTTACGAAACCAAGTTATTTGTCTTTTTGCAAAGTTTCTGCAAAATTAAATAGTAATTGCTAAATAAACTTTTTGATGGAGATTAGTAACAAGGGCCAAACTGTCGATCAAATTCTCGTGATTTGAAATTAAAAAAATTTTAGAAATCCGGTGTAGAACAAGAGTAAAGTCGCCTATTTTGATTTGATAATTAATAGATTAATTCAATTATCTTTCAGCTACATTATCAAATATTTAAGGAAAAGGAGTATGTCCACTTTTCGGTACTTAAAGCACATAGTGCAACATATATATAATGAAAATAGAGTTTTCCAAAGTAAGTTAACAGATAGAATTAATTACGCGTGACAAAACATTCATCCAATGAGGCTTCTCTATGATCTACTATGAGATATTTCTGACAGATGATAACAAGTGTCCATGTATGGAATAATTTCAGGTCACAGGAGTGATGCTTTCTGCCAAGCATTTTAAAGAACTTTGCACATAGATTTGGCCTCTAAATGAGAATTCCACATAAGACCTCTAAATGTGAATTTCACAAACGACCTCTAAATGTGAATTCCATGTACAAAAAAACCATTTGATTGGGTTATTTTGGTTGATTAATCAGAAAAATTGATTTAATCACTGCTCAAATTTACTACATGTTTGGTTATGGCAATAAAAGCTAATTATGATCAAGTTATTATACACAAAGTCAAATATAACTGATACTTTTAATTGCCTTGCATTAATTTTTCAGATAATCATAATCATCATAATCAGTTCACATAATCAAGATCAATCGTGGACAAAATGACTTCTGCACCACAAGCCTTATCCCAACATCAAAGATATCCTGGAAACAATAGCCTAAGGGGAAAATAGGTTACCTGGACGCCTTCTGAAACTCTGATAAAAATGTATAGAAGTCTTGGGCAGAACATTGACCCCCTTGTTCTCTGCACTTCAGGAGATACTCCATAGCCTTGAAAATGCAATAATAATAATAATAAATAAATAAATAAAGGAAATGGATGCATAATAGATTCATGTCCAACAACTGCATCACCAAAGAACTCGGATTTAGACGATTTCATGGAATTCATAAGAGCATTAGAGACACCAAGGTATATACTTGTCTGTAACCAATAGCTCGAGTTGCAGAATTTGAATTCGGTAGAAGACCCAAATCAAGAAGCCATTTTGCCTCAGACAAAATTCCATCATCTCCTGCAGCCAGAAGCTGTCATCAGGAAAGTGATACTTTACGGTTTCACTTATAGATGACTCTCAAAGGAACATAGAGCACAAAAAAATAAATTGATAGCACAAGTCCCGACATTCTTTTACCTAAAATCATATCTTCACATTGGAAATCAATTGATCTGTAACGATCCAACCTTTGGGTCGAAAGCAATACAAAAATACAATCATAGTCCAAGTCGTTTGATTTACTCGGGAACTTTATGTTGTCCCTTGTAAATGACTATCAAAGGAATATAGAGCACATAAAAAAGAAATTGATAGTACAAGTCATGACATTCTTTTACCTAAAAGCATATCTTCACATCGAAAATCAATTGATCTATAGAGATCCAACCTTTGGGTCGAAAGGAATACACAAATAAATTCATAGTCCAAATCCTTTGATTTACTCTCAAGAAGTCCATCTGAAGCAGAGTTGATGTCAACAGCATCTGCCTCATCTGATTCAAAATTTTCCCGAAACGAATCATAAGGTACTTGAAAGGCTGACGGTGGTGCTCCACTTGACTGCAAGTTGAAGAAATATTTTTTAAACGAGACTCTGATTTCAAAGCTTACATAGGTCAATATAAAATCTAGCGTTGGGAAAATAGCTAGATCAGCAGTCAAAATGCAATGATCATTTTTTGAAAGGGGGGAACTAATTGTAAACGAATAGCAAGGGAAGGAGACTGAAAACAAACATAACAGTAAACAAGATCTTCATAGGATACCTTCACTAAAAAAAGAAGGTAGAACTTTAAAAACTTAACCATTAAAACTCAAGTTTATAAAATACATCTCTCTGAAGACATAAGTTCATATACAATTAGGGAGGCAAAATTCATAAAGTTTCATAGCAACAAAAATCACAAACTAACCTTGATGATTTCTAGTCTGCGGCGTAATCGATACCAATCATTTGCAGCTAAAGATTGGGCACTTGGATCACCTGCTTTAACCAGCAAGTGGACAGCTGCATCCCAATCACCATCTCTCTGTAAATTAGCAAGTTCAGAATGCACTTCAGAAGTGATCTCTCGAGAGGCTTTTGGAACATCTGGCTTCCCATAAATGAACCTGATGCATCAGAAATGAAAGAAATTAGTTTGATTATGTATAATTTGGTTTCCAATTGAGAATAATTTACTAATTGTGTTATTCAAGAGACAACGCAAATAAAACTCTAGAATATTGAACCATTAAACCTTGCCACTGGTCTCTGAGCACATAAACCTAAATTGGCTTCTATGTAGAGTTGATGAAAGGCACAAGAGATCAACGTGTATGGCCATCTTGTTGCATTTGATAATTCTTTTACATTTACAGTCATAAATTGTAATGTTTTCAATTGGAGTGCATATTCTAGTCCAACTCTTCACTGCATATGAAGTTAAGATGACCAAAAAAAAAAAAAATTCTTTAAGCATGGAAAGTAGTTTCTCTTGTAGTAGAACAAGAAACTAGAACATTACAATTGATCAATAACTTGATCTGACCTGCACAAAGACACTGCTAAATGCATGGGAAATAAGCTTCCATAGATCATGAAGAGGCTACAGATTCTGCAACAGTCCACTAACAAAATCATGCAGTGATGCTAATAGAATTTTACTAAAGGGCTGAGCTTGTTAAAGACCATTCCAATTTGATACACCTAGATATGTATTCTTTCTTCACATAGGTCATTATTCAAGATTTATTGTAAAATAAGCAAAATGTATTCGTTCTTTAATTTTATAATGGGAAGTTTTTTTTGATAGGGATTTTATAATGGGAAGTTCAAGGGATGAAACCACAAAGTAAAAGGGAACTGATGAAATTAGATATGTATTTACCAAGTTTCCAAGGTAAATATTCACGGCAAATATTCTTTCAACTACTAGTGGTTTGACATGTAGTCCTTATAGTCCAAAGCACTGAATTTCTCATTTTCATTGCTCTTAAACAGGTTAATTATGAAAATTGTGAGGCTCTAAGAGGAATAAGCCATTTAGCCTTTTAGTTTGCCCAAGTAATAAAAAAATGAGAGAACATTTATCATGCAAAGGACTTGTAAACATACCACCGCAAGTACAATCCTGTACCACCTGCAACTATGGGAACACGGCCATGATTAAGAACATCATTTGTTACTTGCCTTCCATCCTCATAAAATTGTCCAACAGAATAATCTGTACAGAATTAAAGAACACCTCAATCAAACTCTAAGAAGGCAAGGTAAATCTCATACAAGAAAAAATATAGGTATATTGTTCTGCAAAGGTTTTCTATTCCAGTTGAGTACAAGGTGTGTTACTCTGTGTTTACTCACACTAATTTTTTTATTTTTTATTTTTATTATTATTAATTTTTTTTATTTTTTATTTTTTATTTTTTTATTTTTTTATTTTTTATTTTTTATTTTTTATTTTTTATTTTTTTATTTTTTTTTGTGTCATCAGTAATGGGTAAAGGATTTAATCAAAATCATTTCAAAGCAATAAAAGCTGTATAATGCCAACAAGAGAAAGAAAGAGTTCCCATGGAAATTTATGAACTTAAACTAAAATATCAATAACAAATCCACATGTAGATCTAAACCAATAAAAAGTGAACTTTCAAAGGGCTTTCTCACTCTAATATTAGTTTTAAGGGTGACACAACACTTTCAACTGCACCAGTGAAACCAAGTAACAAACTATACCTTCATATATGTTGATGGCCAATGATGCATCAACATCTATATTAACAATATTTTCTGTATCATTTAAGCATCTGACACTAACATATCATTAAGCTTTTACAATACAATCCAGTAACCAATACCTTCAGATGGATGTAATAAGTCAATCAAATGATGTGGCACTTCCTGCAAAAGAAGAAAAAATCAATATAATTACAGCAACTTGGTCAAATTAACAAATGCATAGTCAAAACCCGGGTGCACAGAATAAACCATGCAATATAACTTTTTACTGCTATCTAATTTACTTGGGATGATATTGTTTTATTGTTTTGAGGAAGGGACATAAGATGAGCATTTTATGGGAAAGTGCATTCAAAATACTCAAGGAAGGAATAGAACTAAAATAACATCACCTGAGGATCCTCATATTCTACTGGCAATAAATGTGATTATAGAGGATGTAATTCTCCAGTTCACGAATCAGCAGGTTTGCTACGTGTAAGGTAGGATCATGGTTGCAAAAACATAAGAAATCAAAGTATTTTGGCCCTCTCTCATAAACCAATCCGCAAGTATACATTCAGATAATATTGAATTAGAGATTAAGAAGTTGCAAACTTTCTATTACATATCCATTGCAACTACTATTTGGGTGTTTTAGCTTGAGCTGTACAAGATGAAAGTCTCATATAGCTAGGTATTTGTCAATCCATGAGAGAACGACAGAATTCTTTAAATAACTCAGTTAATAATACATTAGGTTGCCACACAAAACAAAAGAGGCCAGTTGCTAATTAACCTAGTCAGAATAATAAGAAAGACAATAAAAATACATCAATTGAAATGTAAAACCTGAAAATCCCACGTAAGTAATGCATAAAAAAATTCTTAAAACTACAAATTACAAAAATCAAATAATAATTGTCAACATCGTATGAAAAATGAAGTCGCTCAAACTGCAAATGGTACCTGTCTTTCGCTGAGAGAAGGCTTTGCTGATCCCACATCTAGACCTCTGTACACCTGTTCCATATAAACCCACATTGATAGCTTTCATTCAAACTAAAGGGCGAAAAAATATATATATAACCAGGGGACAAAATGCAAGGTTACAATTGGATTAATCTAGATGTACATTATAGTGAACCACACAGAAAGTGATTACAAGTCTTGCTCAAATTTCCACTATAAAAATAACAGCCTATTAATAATTTCTATTTATTTCTAAGTTTGAAGGGATATTTATTTCTCTTCATATTCAAGTCTAAAAAATGCTTGTAAATGCAGAAATTCTTAAACCTGGACAGAGTCAGCGCTGATTATTTCGCCGTTGAGTCGCTTCGCGAGTTCCAGTGATAGCCTGCTTTTTCCGGCACCGGTGGGACCAGATATTACTATGACCTTCTCCTTTTTATTTTTCGCTGCCGCCGCCGAGCATGAGGTAGCTAAGGGTCTAATGAGGCGGCGGCGATTAAGACTGACGGGTGCCGTGCTCGTGAGTCGGAGGCAACTCATCCGAAAGCTTGGGATTCCAAAGCCACCCATCATTTTTGTCAAGTTGGAAATATTGCCGTGTGAGAGCTACTAATCCGTCTTGTAAACAGAAGTGTTTTATTTCTTTACAATCCGCACTACCAAAATGTTTAAAGAGGACAATTTGTTTGCAATTTTATTTACATTATTATGTGGATGGATAATTATATATCCATTTATTTTTTTCCCTTTCTGAAAGACAATCCTTAGAAAGAATAAATTTTGGATGCACAAAAAAATCTCAGGTCCAACCATAATAGTTGACAAATCTTTGGCATAGGAGTCATTCATTTACCACCATATTTGTTCGAGATTGACTTGTTGACTCAAACGTGCGTTAAAAACATGATTAAAACATTTTTACATTACTTTTTACATTTTACTTTTTGCTAGAATATGTAATATATAATACATGACATCTAAGTGCACAAGACGATCAAAATTGTTATTGTAAGATTCAATACAAGTACTCGATTGCCAACTTTCAACCATCAACTTTCACTTGAAATTCTCTATTCTTCTTCGTATTTCTATCTCAATACACTTTTCATCAAGTTTTCACAAGCCTTAAAATGATAAATGTACAACTAGGGGATCAAAAAGAAAACAAATTGCCCTTTCGTGTAATCCTCAAAACGCTAGCAATTCAATCACTCCTATCATATATCGAAGTGTAAGACATAGTGGCATATGTCATAGTTGTGTTCTGGGACGACGATAACATATCTTGCTTTCCCGATGAATTATCTTGCTTTCCTGAGCCAGGCGAACAAGTATATGATATATTACTCTGAGAACTCTCCATAGGCGCAAACTGCGGCATCAGCCCTGGTCTTGATATAGTTTTTTCATCCACATCCATCTCTCCTGTCAGCATTCTCACCACAATAGACATTGATGGCCTGTTGTTTGGCTTCTCTTGTGCGCATAAAAGACCAATCTTCAGATATTTGCGAGCCTCATCAACATCAAAATCCCCTTCAAGTGCCGTGTCCACCAAGTGAACCAGATCCCCTTGCTCATATAGTCGCCATGCCTGGAAGTGCAATTAGGTTCAAGTGCATTCATGGTCAAGCCATTTCACCAGAAAAGGTTAGCATAATTAAAATCAAGTCATGCATATTCTTCTGCAGTATCAACACCAATTAGTTTCAGCATCAACCATTGTTACTTCATTTTTTTACTCCTTTGATGCAGCTTGTGATTCTGTAAGCGAATTTATATCCCGAAAGGACTCTTATACCTTGTTTCCACCATTTTAAGTATGAAAAGCATGCCCAATCTCCATGCATTCAAGGGAAAATAAATGGTCCAGAGTGTTTCAAGGAAGTTTAGTTTGCACTAGGAACTGTAAAGAACGTGCCTAGCTAAAAAGTGAAATTGGAAAACCTGTTGAATGGTGCATCCAAGCACAAGTTTTTAACTAGCCAATCTAATTCAATAGTCCAATTGTACATATGCTGGCTCCTGATATTATGCTCATCTTTCACAAGAAAAAGTACCCTATTTATCTGCTTAACGTGTAGGCCAAGTCTACGATTACCATTTACTTGTTCATTAATCATAACTTCATCTGTTCATATGTCAAGAAAACAATTCTATTATTGTCACTCGAGGTTGAAAGATGCAAGTCGTACCCTTCTAAGAATATGTTTATCTTCAGCAGGCAATCGCTTGTTTGTGTTGAATCTTCCACCGACAATTTCCATGAGGAGAACACCAAAACTATATATATCTGCTTTCCGAGTCAACTGGCCTCGACTTGCGTATTCAGGGGCCATATAACCTCTAGAAAATTGAAGATCAAAAATCTTGTAAATACATATGAATTTATAATCACAATTACAGAAGACACCACAGTCAACAAGCCTAGCACGGACAAATATCTATAAGTCATGACTTTAAGAAAGATAGTCGGTCTTTTCTTCTTTCAGTAGATGGTTGGGGCGGGGGGACTACATATATTCTAGAAGCAAGAAGAATACAAATGTATAATACCAATTTTGTACTTTATTTTCTCTCTCTTATTATTGGAACATTAATTACTTGTAGAATCACAGGAGAGTGAATTTCTGCTTGTCTAGTATGAACACAAATATCTAAGTTTCTGAGTTATCTACTGTGAACACATGTTAAGGTCTCTCATGCCCACTTGACATGTCTCCAATATTTGGCTAAATAATAAATATATCAAGATGACTCACATACCAAATATTTATCGATTACTAGTTCTAATACCATGTAATAGGATATGTGAACTTACATAGTTCCTGCAACACGTGTGCTAATATGAGTTTGATTATCTGGAAAAAGCTTTGCAAGACCAAAATCAGAGATTTTCGGATTAAGATCCTTATCAAGGAGAATATTACTTGCTTTTATATCTCTGTGAACAATGTGAGGCTGGATTTCCTCATGGAGGAACATGATCCCTCTTGCAACCCCTATGCAGATTTTAGTCCGTATTTTCCAGCTAAATTGAATGCCGCTGTAGCGACCACCTACATTTAAAGTTAACCATTATCATTTTGACATAAGAAAAGGATCACCAGTTTCAAAGTGTTCACAGGCTATAAATTACCGAGAAGAGTTTTAGAGAGGCTATTATTCTCTAGATAGCCATACACCAATACTCGATGGTCCCCTTCTGCGCAGCAACCATACAATTTCACGAGGTTTTCATGTTCGATGCCTGATATCACCACTATCTCTGTCAAGAATTCCCGCACACCCTGCTGCGACTCAGCAGAAAGAACCTTAATGGCAGCCAAGCTACCATCGTTTAGCCTACCCTGACAATTAGAATATGATTTGAGTACAAACTTGAACAGCAATCATGTTATGTAAACCAATCTTTCACAACTTAGGAGCAAGAGTGATGATGCACAAGTACCTTATAGACGGAACCAAAGCCTCCTTCCCCAATTTTATTTGACAGATTGAAATTATCAGTTGCAAGTTTTAACTCTTTGTAACTGTACAACTTAGCATTTTCAATACCTGAAATTTCTGCATTCATTTTTAACATCGTTAGAAGTTCTCATTAAGTATGACAAACACAAATTGACTTGCACATGAAAAAATGTATAAAAATACTAAGCACTTGCTCTTCAGAATACGTGATTTGACAGCGTGAAGTCTTCAGACAGAGCAAGAAACTTCACTAATCTGAGTCATACGATTCTAACAACTACTTCAGTTCCAAAGGTTTTAACTATTTGAAGTCTACCTGCATCAATATTTACTCTTTGCCTAGTTGGTGAAGAAGCATCACGACTGCAACAGATGGTAAAACAACTCATCCGACCACCTCTTTACGCCAACCAAACTGTAGTTTAGATAAAATCTCTGCCCCGTCAAACCTGAACCATTGCAAGAACATGTCAAAATATGATTTCATCAAAGAAACTGGACAGACAATCATATGCCATGGTGATAATTGACCTCAGTGCAACTAAAGTTGACCGTAAAAAAAAGTACAGTATCAAGGCTGAAAATTTAAGAACTTAAAAAAATAAATAAATAAATAAAAGAAAAAACCAAATTAATAATAAGCTTCCATGTCGAGTTTTGAGATTTGCCCATTAGATAAACCCAAAGGACAACATTTAAGTTAATTGATCTAAAAAGCTAGTGACAGATACTGGGAACATAAAATAAATAGTACTTAAAGCAGTAAAGAAGAAAGCTACAGTTATTGGACATAGTTTCGTCTTTCTTCTCAAACATCTAAACTTATTACCTCGTCTGATCATTTGCAGCAGAGACAAGGTTTGAATTTACCGAACAAAAAATTAGAAAAAGAAATGACCCTTTGATTTGCATTTAATTTAAGAACAAGACCATCTGATTTATAAGTAACAGATAAAAAACTGGTCAATTCAAGTACAATAAATATAAAAACTAATTATCAACATCTGAAGCTTAAGAATTTCCGTCACGGATAAAGATTTAATCATTAAAAGAACAGAAACTTCTTCTGTAAAAAGATAATAGTAAAAATCAAATAAAAGAAGACAGAAAATTATCAATAAATAAGCATGTCTCTGAGGGTAATCCATGAAAATAAGACAAGAAGCTCATCTTAAAGTAGTATTGGTGATGAAAGTCGTCGTCCAGACTTGATAGAGGAACAGAATTAAGAAAAAGGCAAGTTTTCGAGTTGGGAGAATAGTCAAAGGAAGAAATGTAAAACCCCCGGAGGATATAATCGATCAACTTCATACTACGTAATTATAACCTGACTTTTTAACGTAACAGTCAGTGTAGGGTAGATAACCTGGGTAGTTAAAATTTATAAAGTCTGTATATTGACTTATTCCCTTTTAGAATATGAGCAAAAAGGATTTCTCATCATTTTTGTCTTAATAATATTTTTTTTAAAAAAAAAAGGTTAAACCCGAACTTGAGGGTCCTCACCGTTCAACCCCTGGAACATTATGAGGGAGGTAAATCGCGGAATGTACCCCCAACAGGTCAGGGAACAAGAGTTTGCCTATATACTGATACCCACAAATAACCCAATTACATATTTCAGAAATAGAATCATCACACTGTAGCTACCGACAAGGTTGAGACTACATCACTCATATCCTTTACACCACTAAGATATGCCTCGAGGGGCTTGTCTTATAATATTTATGAATCACCTTAAGGGCATAATCAACATATAAAAAATCTCCTAGGGACTCTTTAAATATAAGATCATCTCTATTTTAGAAAGTCAGCTTCTAAAATTTTGCTTCAAAAGATTTTTTAAATTAACATTTTAAAATAAAAAATTAGTTTGGCTGGAGTACTTTTAAAAAAGGGTTTGGTTAAATCATTCAATTTTCACTTTGACTTTTGAACAATTGAATACTTCCATTATCTTACTAATGGGATTGGGTCATAACTCAGTGGTGCATTGTTTTGAACATAATAGAGTCTATTGTATAGACAAGCAAATGAGATTGGGTCATAACTCGTCAACCTGTGGTCCGAATCTTTGTTTTGAATAGTATTGAATTACAGAAATATAATTAAATCATTTATAATATTCGATCATATCTAAGTATATAATATAGTACACAAGCCTTGTAGCTAATCTTGATATGCTAAATTAAAATAGAAACAAGCCTTAAAGAAAATTGGACTATTCTCATTTATTCCTTACCTGTTATCATAATAGTAAAATAGTACTTTATGAAGCAAGATTTTCTAGTGCTAGAAATCTGCAAGATTGAAAATTTGCTTGTGTTGTGGTGCTCAAGTGGCATTCTCAGGTTTCTCTCTCATACATTTAATCATTCCTGTAATGCTCTAGTCTTGTGTCATTCATAGATTCTACCTAGTTCAAATGCCAAATTAACATTTGTTAGAAGAGCAAAGTCAGACTTATAGAAAAAAATGGTACACACATATCAGGGTGAGTGGGTCATTTTTTGCATATTTTAATAAACGTGGAGTTCACCGGATGTAAGGGTCTGTAATCCTTTTGTAGAAAATAATTCTGTACATTCAGTTTTTTCCTTGTTAAAAGGTATTGTGATTACGTGTCAAACAAAATGATAGTCCTAAATTGTCATGTTCGCAATATGCGTCGCTTTTCGTACTCCATTTTTTTTTTTTTTTTTTTTTGTTCTTTATGAAGTCAGTTTCAATGCACTTCCAGTAGGCCATCATCTTCCTAGTTTGTTTGAGATAGTCAAATACTGGGAGAGGGAGAGAGAAATGGCTTGCTGTCTTTTAGAGGAGAATGTGTAGTACATTTATATATGTGGTGATATATACACAACATTGGAGTACATTCATGCAATTGGATTAAAAGGCGCTTATCTGGTTAGTGAGAATATGATGTATTGACATTGATGTTTCTTTGCCCAACCATTTAATCAATAAAAGTTCCCAATTTTTTCTGTCTTCGATTTTTCCTTGTCATTTCTTCATTATAAAACACTGGTTTCATATGAGAACTTTACCATTTTCTTGTTTCATGAATGAGAACATCTTTTTGGTCGTCCGGGGAAATTTAGTTTTTTGTGGGAACCTTCTTTCTATACCATGCCTGATATCGTGCACTGCACAGGCTGAGGCTGCTGAACTGAACTCCTGGATGCGTGCACATCTACTGGCACACCAAACATATACAAGGTCTATTGGGCACCGGGCTAAGGCTGCTGAATTGAACTAGAGTCGGGCACCTGGATGCATGCACATCTACTGGCACACCAAATATGTACAAGGCCTATTTGGCAAAGTGGATTGGACCGTGCTTCTTGTACATGGGCGTGTAACACGGTCCCACCCACCCCCTCACATCGGGGGTGGGACCCAAACGTGGGCCCCGATGTGGGACCTCGCCCCATGTGAGGGGCTGAGGTGGGCCCATGTACATGGGTGTGTAAACGCCCGTGTACAAATGGCTTTATCCAAGTGGATTATATAGTACAGCTATACTCAATGTTGTATCCATATATGAGAATTCTAATAGTATCTATAATTAATGGTCATTTAGAACTACCATAATAAGTAATAGCTCAGTATTCCCTCTAGTTGAGGTTTTCTAATCATATGTAAGCATTTAAGTTGCTAACTTCCAAACATTCCCCACTTGCAATAAAAAACCAGGGAATGGAACTGGAAGAAGTTGGTGCTAATCAGCTACCAGTCCTGTTAATTTTTCATTTTTCTTTCAGAAAGCTTACTGAAAATTCGATCAACTCTAACCTGTTGGTTCACTTCTATGTTGAACTTACGGATTTTGTATCAAGACATGTTTCATGCACAAGATTTGTTTGAATAATGATGAGCTCTTGATTCATTACTCAGTAGAATTGTAATGTATTTTAATAAATCATGAGACTCATTGTGATGGTTATCATTGGTGTAACTGCTTCCAAAAGAAATTGAACGCACATCCGAACTCCAAACAAATAATGAGGCCCAATGTGAACTAAACCAGTGACTTACCGAATCTAATTAAAATTACCAAAAATGTTACCTGCTATCCCCTTTTTTTTTTTTTTTTTGATACCTAGATCTCCCAGCTTCGCCAGACTAATTCCTGGATCTCAAGCCTTCGGCACCTCATTAGCTTGAGCAAGTTAATCGCGGGTTGTGCCCTTGTTGGCTCCCAGATTCCTGCATGGCTTATAGTCCTTCCCCTTCGAGATAAATCCCCCTTCCAAAATGCTGCCTTCCAGGAATCGAACTCTCCACGCTAGGTTTGTGAGCCCACCAATGCAATTGTTCCACCAATACGGATGTACCCCGGGGGGCACCTGCTATCCCGTTTTCACTCTACACAACCCCCATAGGCGGCCAATTTATCAACACTCAATTCTCTTGTAGGACAAAGATAGCGTGAATGTTTGGACTTTCTTAAGCTAAAATTTAAATTGATCAAACATTAATTTTAACTACACATTTTGTAAAACTCGCAACTAATATCCACTTATCCTAAATAAAAATATCGTGTGGAAATTACACCTAGCCATGGTTATTTAATTCTCAATTCAAAAATCAAATTTGAAAGTTTTTTATTAAAAAATCGGATGATAATTTAAACATTTTAATAATATAAAATTAAATTAATCTACCCGAAAACGCCCGCAACACGCACCTCACAAACCCTAATTCATCGTTAAAAGAAATATTTTCGAATTTGCATCTTCACCAGGCGCAGCACCGACACCATGTGCACGGCAACGACGGCACCATTTTCTATTTGTAGCAACGCTGGCAAGATCCATATTTAAGCATGGCGACAAGCTGCTTTCCGTTCATGTCACTGTTGTTATAGCAAAATTGCCGGTGGTATACCTAAGATGGTGGGGGTGTTGTGGTGGTGGGGTGAGTTATGTTGGAGAGAGAGTTTGTGACCATTTATTTGCGCAGTCATGGTCGTGCAGGTGATGGTGTTCGGTGGTGGTGGAGATGGTGTAGATGGTTGTGGTTGTGGTCAGGATGGTGTAGTTGGTTAGTTTGAGAGAGTTGGTGGTGTTGATGTTGGTTGTCGGCGGTGATATTGGTGTTGGCGTTCTTACAAGAAAGGATTGGTATGTGTTGACACATAAAAATTCAGCCCAAATCGAACAGCCCAGAGAGTAAAGCCCAATTGGAGGATCCCCAAATCAGATAGCCCAAAGAACGAAATCCAATTGAACGAGTCAAGGTGAATGCCCAAATAAGGGGCCCAATAGTGCGATAACGCCATCGTCCAAGTTTGTAAGTCGCTCAGAGTCTGAACGAATAGAATGGCAGACGGTCGTTCAGAGTCTCGCCCAAATCTTCAAGTCGCCCAAGGTATCAACAAACATAACGCATTATGATGCAGTTATTGAGGCAATTGCTAAAGTGACTTTATCACGTTCCACGACTCAAGGGGTTCAATCGAAAGTGGTTGAACGATGCAAGATAATGGCAGCAGTTAAAAAGACAGTTTCATGACAAAATGGCCACTACAAAGAAAGTGGGTAGTTATAGGGCGATCAAGCAGTTTTTTTAGAGCAGTTAATCACAAAAGGATCGCCTATGAAGTATAAAAGGGAGAAAGAACTTAGAAGAAAAGCACTGAATCCAAAACTCCCGAACAGAGAATATGTAATTTTCATTCCTTTAGCTTTTAGACTTAAACATTTCCTTTTCTGTAACTCGTGTGCTTGCGCCCCTTGGAGGCACGTTGTTTTCCGTTTCCAATTGTAAAGTTCATCGCCAATAAAAAGAACACCCCTTTTTGGGACTTTGTCTCAAGAGGTTTCGTCCCTTACACAATCGTCTAATCCTCTTTAATTGTTAGCGAATAAACACGCGCGAAACAATTTGGCACGCCCAGTGGGACAGTGGTGTTAGGTGTTGAAAGTGCAAAAGGAGAAACAGTATGCCTCAGAGATCCGACAAGGAAGGAGCAAGTCAGGGAGGAATCCAATCTGTAATCGAGCGATATGAGGAGCAACATGCCTCTCCACGAACAGATGGACAAAATCAGAGCAGTAACAGTCGTTACGAACCAATGACGGAGCTGAGTCCTCGAACCATGCGTGCATTGCTTGGAGAACTCACACAAGACGT